CCGAAAGCGAGAACTCATACGCAAGGGGGACAGTGGGAGGCAAATCGATCTTGAAGAGCTTCAAGAATCGAACGATGAAGGAACCTCTAACACTGGCGTTCAACCTGAGGATGAAAGTCCTTTTGAACCTGTTGACGAGTCCCTACCTCTTAGACGTTCCAGTAGAGGTAGTCTTCCACCGGAGTTTTATGGTTTCCATATTACTACCGAAGGTGATGCGTTTATTGGTGATAGTACACTAGTAAATTTGGATGAACCTAACAGCTACAAGGAAGCCATGACAGGCCCGAAGTCTGCAAAATGGAAAGAGGCTATGGCCAGCGAGATTCAGTCCATATATGACAACCAAGTTTGGAATTTAGTTGACAATGTGCCAAGTCGTAAGATGGTCGGGTGCAAATGGATCTTCAAGAAGAAGACCGACATGGATGGGAAGGTGCACACTTATAAGGCACGATTGGTTGCGAAGGGCTTTACTCAAACTCCGGGAGTTGATTATGATGAGACCTTCCCACCAGTTGCAAAGATAAAGCCTATTAGGTTAATACTGGCCACTGCTACATTTCATGACTATGAAATATGGCAAATAGATGTCAAAACCGCTTTCCTTAATGGAAAGTTGGTTGAGGATGTTTACATGATTCAGCCAGAGGGTTTGGTCGATGCGAAGCATCCTAGTAGAGTGTGTAAGCTTGAGAAATCCATTTATGGATTGAAACAAGCATCTCGCAGATGGAATCTTTGTTTCGATGAGAAAGTTATAGAGTTTGGCTTCCTGCGAAGCGAGGATGAGTCCTGTGTATATGTCAAAGCCAGTGGGAGTATAGCTAGCTTCCTCGTATTGTATGCCGATGACATACTACTCATAGGAAACGACATCCCAACCCTGCAGGAGGTTAAGTCCTGGCTTGGGAAGTGCTTCACTATGAAGGACCTCGGAGAGGTTGCCTATATTCTGGGAATAAGGATAGTGAGAAACAGGAGTAAGACACTAATATGACTTAGTCAAGATACTTACTTGGATAATGTACTAAAACGTTTTAGTATGGAGAATTCCAAGAAAGGGGAGTTACCGATCCAAAGAATTACCAAGTTGAGTAAGACTCAAAGTCCGAGTACTGAAGCCGAGATAGCAGAGATGAGTCGAGTACCTTACGCTTCCGTAGTTGGCTCGATCATGTATCCTATGACTTTGTACTAGCCCTGATGTGGCCTTCGCTTTGAGCATGGTCAGCAGAATTCAAGGGAACCCTGGTAGAGCGCATTGGACCACAGTCAAGAATATTCTTTAGTACCTTCGGAGGACTAAGGAATGGTTTCTTATCCTCGGTGGGAGTGATGACTTAATGGTACGAGGGTATAGTGACGCCAGTTTTCAGACCGAACGAGACAACTTCCGTTCTCATTCAGGCTGGGTCTTTACCCTGAATGGAGGAGCAATGACTTGGAAAAGTTCCAAGCAAGAGATCGTGGCTGATTCAACGTGCGAATCAGAGTACATAGCAGCGAGTGAAGCGTCGAATGAGGCAATATGGTTGAAGAACTTCATTGGAGACCTTCGATTTGTGCAAGCCATAAAGGAGCCCATGGAAATTTTCTATGATAATGAAGGTGTGGTTACCTTAACCAAGGAACCGAGGGATCATGGCAGATCCAGGCATATCGACAGGAAATATCACTTCATTAGACATCGGGTAGAAGAGGGACTCCTCGTAGTGAAGAGGGTATCGTCAGAAGATAACCCAACAGATCCCCTTACGAAGGGACTGGGTAGGGTTAAACAATTGCAGCACACTAGGAGCATTGGGATGAAGGACGATATTAGTTTTGATTAGATAGATTTTAGAAACTTGTAATAGTAAATTGTAATTAACATTTATGATTAAATAAAGGTGTTTTATTTATAAGTAAAGTTACTGTCTTGATTTAATTATTTACTATTGTTTCACTTTGCATGTTTTGACTTCCTGAATAATAAGATTATTCAAACAGTCCACAGTCGTTCATATGTTGGAAGTAGATATGAAAGAAGATTGTCGTGAATTGGTTTGTAGACTGTCTAAAGTGTATTATACATAGAAAAAGTTTGCTGCAAAGTTCATGAGTGCTTCTGAAATAAGACTTGAGCATTGGATTAAACCCACGCTCACTTGAATCACTTCATGGAAGTTATCACGAGTGATTGTGAGACGATAATATCATAGTCTTTAAACCTAGATATATGGTTTATTTTTTGCGAGTTGGTTGTACATTGATAATGCGTAAACGCATCAGTAACTTGATGCTATAAAATGCATTGTTGTGTATGATTTGATGAGTGAATAGTAAATGCTTATAATTCGAAGTTTATCTATTCCTTTTATCCTAAGAGGGTAAAAGCGATATCTGGGCCCCTTGATGATTTGGTTTGACTTATTTGACGGGCCCGGTCAGGACTGAATTGATGTGTTCAATTAAGTTCTATCTTAGAAAAATCAGAGATCGAGAAACAAACTGCTGGACAATAAGTATGACTATGTTCCATGTAATTGTCCACACGATATCTTTAGAGCGGAGGACTATAAGATCCCTTATCTAAAGGACGAGTCAGAGTTCGACAACGACTTTTGAGAGCTACGATTGCTAATCGAATTTTGAAGTCGTACTTGCATCTATAGTTATTAGACTTATCCAAGTGGGAGACTGTTGGATTAACGTCTAAGTCCATAACTATATTTTGTATGTACTTGACCTGGTTGTAGCATGGTCCTTTTGGGTTGCCTTCACCAAAGCAACTTGACTGGATGATTAATGGAGAAAGAGGTTATTATGGTTTATTGATATATTATAAGAATAATATATTAAAAGATAAATCATATTAGTTAATTAATATTGGTCAATAACTAATTAAGAAATTAATTTCGTGATCAAAAGATATTAATTAAACTTAGGGGACTGGAATTGTAATTATAAGATAATTGGATTTTGGGTTGTGGATCTTATGGATTAAGGGGGTGGACGAAATTAGGGTGGAAGTCCACCTAGAAATCATCCAAGACCTTATTCCAGATGGTTCTTTGGACTGCTTAAGGCCTAAGCTATCTAATTAGGGTTTTGACTGAAACCCTAGCTGCTCAAGTATATAAGGACCCCTAAGGCATCAGAAATCGGCACCCAGAAACCCTAAGAAGTCTTAGAGCCGATTTTGAGCCTCCCATCCCTTCTCTCCAAGATCATCCTTCTTGCCTTGGTGTTTGTGATCGATTAGAGGTATTACATTTGTGATACTAGGCTCTCAAAGCTTGAAGATTGTTGCAACAATCAAAAGGTAATCATCTGAACTTCTTTAGTTATAGATTTTGATTTTTGATATGCTAGAAATAGGGTTTATAAGCTTTGGATGATTTGCATGTATAATAGAGAAACCGAGATCCAAAACTTTAGGGTTTACATGTGCACCATGAGATTGTTGTATTGCTCAAAACCCATCAAATAATACAAAAAATCAAAAGTTAATGAAATTTTATATTATCCAAGAATAACCACTCTTGAGATGAGTTAGTTGAAATATTTATCTATGTTATTTTATATTTAAAGTAATTACAATGTAAAAAATATTATTGACTTTAATATTATTTCAAAGTCAATGATACCGACATAACTATTTTTAATAACATATATTAATTATATTATAATATTCTGCACGACACGTGGATATTCGCTTAATATACTTATAAAATAGATATTTTTTCTTCAATCATATTAATTTGAAAGCCCCAACTTTTCAACATATTTTTAAATTAATACATTAAATATAATATTATTGTAATTTCAATATTAATTCTTTATTCTCAATATAATATATTTAGTTTGTTAATCTAAGTATGATGTTAAATTCAAAACATAATTTTATAATATATTCAAAATCTTCTTTTAAATATTTAAAAAGTTTAAATTGATGATAATCAAAATGTCAAATTAACAAAAAAAAAAAATAGTTGAAAATTACTTTTTATAAAAAATAATGTTTTCCATAAAATAGATAGTCTAAAATAAATTAAAAATATTAAAAATTTAAATAAAATATTAAATATAAAACATGTATCAAAAGATAGTTTTAAAATTCATTAGAAATAAACTATGTCTATCTAATTTGAGTTATTTTTATTTTCACGGTTGTAGTTATTAAGATGATGCGAATTAAATAGAATAATATCAAATCTATATTTTGATACTCATAAATCCATTAAAAAATAAATTCTTACACTTATTTTTAATGATGTTTATTATTTATTTAAATTATTTAGAATATTTTATAATAAACTAGTTTAAAAATTATTGATTTAAATGGAACAACAACCACTTAGGAATCAAACATTTCCTACATATACACCTTAATATCTTTAGACCAAAGACTCTTTGGTCCTCAAAACAAGTGCCTAATAAAGGTTTTTTTATCTGTTTATATATCAATATGAAAGAAATTGATGGTATTATACACAGAAATATATCAATATTAATTGCTAGATTTTCTAAATTACAATCCGAAAGAAACAAAATTTTATGAACTTAGTGACTTCCTGTTTGGTCAAAGGCATTTTGTTTTCACAAAATATCATTTTAATGGCATTTTGTGATAAAAAAAAATATCATTTAACGAGTGGGGGGTAACTGAAACTTTGTTTTCACAAAATATCATTTTAATGGCATTTTGTGATAAAAAAAAACAAATAATTTATTATGATATCCTTTTAAAACAATGATGTTCTTAAAACAAATGGTTTATTACTTGTATACGATGACATTAAAGTAGAAAATATCCCTCTTATAAGACAATAACACCAACATTATATAAAGCTTAAAATGCAAACTAAACATAGTTTTTGCACTGATAAGTGACCACATTACAACTCCTTACATATTTTCTAGATATAAGTTGAAATTCAAAGACAACTACTATTTCAAAGGACTTGAAGAAGAAAAATAACTCTTTCACCATCTCTTCTCTTTCTACATTTCTTTTAAATCTGCAACCATCCAAGAACATATTAGCATACGATTGATCATATGAGAATGAGCGCACCAAGTAAATGTAAAGTAGCACATAATTAAAAGACAAAATATTGGCAAAAATAGGGTTTCTATGATGAGATGCTGATGAAAAGTAAGTCTATATACCAAGTCTATGGTGCTGGATTGATCATATGAGAATGAGCGCACCAAGTAATAAAATGCACCATGCTGGAGAGACTGAAGAGTTACCCCCCACTCGTTGGTAACCACTGGCTGTCCATAAGAGTGTATCAACACCGCATCATCACCAAACGCCTCCCTCACATTAAACGGACCAAATGCTACCTCAAATGCCACATCATTGATGAATACCGTTGATTTCCCATGTCCTGGTTCCTCCAAACCTGCACCTGATAACATACTACCATTAACTCACTACTTCAGATCACTTATACGCTAGCTTCAACCAAATCGATATGCATGCATACATCAACTACAATGTTGGTCAGCATTTGAGAATATAACTATCAAATCTCTTGTATAAAAAAGATTGAATCTTTTAATAATTTAGAAAAATGAAAGTATTAATTACATAAACATTTGCACTTACACACACTGTTCATTTTATGGGTTTCAGCTAGTCTTGGAATTTTTTATTACTGTAATGTTATAATATATTATAATAGCTTTAATGTTTGATGTAAAATCTACACAGTTCTTAACGTTTATTGTTTAGACCTAAAGATAAATCAAAGTAGATATGAACGTTATTAATAAGTTTAAGAAGAAGAAAAAGAAAACAAATAAAGGTACCTCGGATATCATTTACTGTGGATGGAACAGTAGTAGTAGTAGGAGGAGGATGATTTGGAGTCACAATGGAAGCCGGAGCTGAAGGTTGAGAGAAATTGTACGTTGACATTTTCGCCATTTTTTCTTCTTCAACACCTTTGTTAGTAGTGTTCTTTGAGATACCATTTTGGCGAGTCATCATCATCAAATCAGTTAGCATCATCCCAGAACTACTCCCAACAGTTTGATCAAGATTTCCATGATTATGATCTTGACTAATCGCATTTCCCAACTCCGAGAAAGAAAACCCTTGTGTGAAACTGGAAGTGGTGGTGATAGGTGGTTGTGGCGGTGGTGGTTGTTGAACTGTGGTGAAAAAGAAGGGTTCTTGCGAGAATTCACTATGGTGTTGGTGGTGGTAACCCGTCCCTCCACCGCCAAAGTAGGCATGTGGTTGTTGGTTTACTGAAGCTGTGGGGGAGTTCAGGAGAAACTCGATTGACTTCGAGGATGACTTTTCCGATGAAGACGAAGAGGAGGTGGTGACCACCTTTGTGGTGGCAGCAGACACCGGAAAAGATTGGTGGTTTTGGGTTTTTTGGAGATGTCGGCTCTTGTGTTTGCTTCTAGACTTCCTGTTTTGGAACCAGTAAAACACGTTCGCATCACCAACTTGTCCATATTCTTGAAGTTGCGCTCGGATTTTTCTGATTTCGTCTCTCGGAGGATTCACCATTCCAGAGTTGAAAATGGATTCAAGGATTCGGATTTGTTCAGGTTTTGGGTTCCACCTTGGCTTCGGTTCCGGGCTTCTCTCTTCGCATCCTGCCATTGTTAACATTTACTATTAATTGTAATATAAATATATAAAAAAAAAAAGATCTGGGTTTGTAACGCATACATCATCCTAGCTTTTTCATGGTTATATGCCTAACCAAATGGGAACAATGACACATAAATTCAATACCGGTTCATGATTTTCAGGAGCTTGCACCGGTTAGGATTTTCCAAAAACAGAAGGTATACAAAGCTTACACAAAATCTCAGTTCTTTTCACACACACACACGAACACACACAGACACGATAACAGTGGCACCGACTTCGTCAAATATCTTGAAATCTCACGACTGATTAGAAAACGGAAGAAGGAAAAAAACATATTTAATAATTGTTATCCAATCTTGTGTCGAAAAATGGTTTTACTTTCTTTCCATTTTCAATATGATGTATCGAGTAAGAAGGAGCAAGCACACAAAGTCACGTTAAAAGTGGGTTAAACGGACTTAATTACCGGACGTGTAAGGAGATCTGTGACAGGCAGAAGATAGGAGATTGTTGGAGTCGTGAGATTGCCATTGGTGGTGATGATGAGTGTTGCAGGTGGGTTTGGATTTGAACATACTAGGCCAGTGTCTATTTGATGAAGCCATCTGAAATACTAGTTATATATGACTGTATATGAATGATTGATGATGAGTGATAATTGTAGCACACTCTCAAGTCAAGTCAGAGACAAAAAAGTGATATTTTGCCTTGCTACTTTGTTCTTTCTGCTTTCTGGCTCTCTTTTTGGTTTAGTGAAGAAGAATGAAAGGACTAGGCAAACAAAACATCTCTTCTTATAGCCATAGACTCCTCACCTACCCCTGCATTTCAGTTCAGTTTCAATTAATAGCAAGTCCAAAATAAATAAATATAAATAAGAGATATTAAGACGGACACACATGTACAAGCATACATAATATATATATTTAATAATTAGAAAATGAAAATAAACCCATAAACAAGAATCACCTGTGCATCCATTAGAACATGTAAAACAAATGTGAGGGATACAATGAGAGTAGTACTACCATCCCCAATCCCCATAGAACCATACCCCAAAACATTTATGCGGTTTTTATATAATTATATTCTATTAACAAGATAAAAACGAAAAAAGGTAGTAAAATTGAAAACGAATGGGATTTCTAATGCAAAGAGGGTTCCCACACAATGGAAAATAAAGACAACAATAAAGGAAGAACCGCAGGGGTACTTGTGCTCTTACTAGATTTTTTATCACAGAAGACAGCGAAAGGTTATTAATATCAAGAGTCAAGGGCTTCCAAGTAGTACTACTACCATGAGAGAGAGAGAGAGAGAGAGAGAGAGAGAGAGAGAGAGGAAAAGTGTGGGGTTGTTCTTCTTATGACGTTCTCTTTGTTTTCACATCTTAATCATCTTCTGATGATTTTTCCTCATTTGCATTGTGGAAGGGTTTCTTTCAGTGATCTTGTGAGGTTGCAGAGAGTGTATTAATATGTGTGTGTGAGAGAGAAGAGGAGTTAAATTGTTTTCTTCGTGTTGCACATATTCTAAGGAAAAAGGTTGGTGTTGGTGGCAAAGAATAAATAGGGGTATTTGAAAGTCAATAAGGCATGGTAGGGTTTGAGTGCAAAAGTGGTGGTGGAGGATTTATTGCGAGTTTGGGTTATTTCGGGCAAAGTAATAATTAAGAGGGGTTCTTCATGGATTGAATTGGATTGACTCGAGGGAAATTTATTTCCGTTTGCATCTTTCTTCCAGCATGGGTTAATTTTCACTTTTGTTTCTCACATGGATGTAAAAGTGAATTTGATTATTCTTGAAACTTCATAAACTTTTAAGACAGTCTAAATGTTTTGATTTATTCTTGAAAGAAATCGATTATGTAAATCTTTTGATAGATAAAATACGAACCCATAATTGTATTTTTTTTAAATATATTTTAGACATCGTACTCCTAAGCATAGCTAAGTGGTTTTTCCTCACCAATCAATTGTAAGAAAGTAAGAAACATAGATCAACTGTCCATACTCATGAAAAAAAATATGATGAATATTTCTAGGTCGTTGTTTCTTAATTGGTTGGAGAATGGCAAATGATAGGGGTGTGGCAAAATGAACTATAGTTTAGAAAGAAAACATATACATCATATACGGGTCTAATATAAACTAAAAAGCAATTAAAGATAAATGTACCAACCTTTTAGCCAAAAGTTGTGGTCATATGTGAGTAAATAGCTCTAAGGATTTTTGTATTTTGTAGTTTACACCGGTAATATGATAAGGTCAAGATGTTATTTGAGTTTGATGTTGTAATATTTTGCCTTATCAACCCATATGAAACCACGATCTCTTTTGTTATATTTGAAAACCTATAGTTCATCAATCTTTTATTGTAAATGTAACAACAAAGCTATCAAAGACGATGTCATGAGATGTTGGAAAACATGTCTCCAAGAGTCCTTCATAAGAAAGTTATCTATTTTTTGTTAACAAGAAAGACTTTATCCTTTGCTTAATTTTTGAAGATTATAGTTCCCTTTGGACAACCTTAATTCTCTCTTGACTACACCTCCCAAACTTTGTTACCCGAACATTATGTTGGGATTTGATTCAATCTATACACATTAGTTTTACACACCCAATTCAAACAAATAACATTTTGTGTACACGCATCATAAGGATCTAGGTTTTCACTATAATAGCAATCTACTTTAAAAATAAGAAATTGCTAACCTTTGGTTCTTCTTGACTTCTTTAGTGAGATCTTGTGATAATTCAATTCCAACAGATGACAATGACCCAAACCAGGAATCCCTCTAGTGGAATCACAACCAAAACATCAAATATCACAAGAATCTTTAGGAGAGATGTTATCTTCAAAAATACCAATAACCCAAGGAGGGTTATAGATTTCGTCTATGAGAGAGAGGGGAGAGGTGGACGGTTTTAGAGAGAAAAAAGAATCATCAGGATTTCAAGTCTAGCAGTCTATTTATAGTCTTTAGTTTAATTCAAAATTACAAGTTAATAAACGTTATACTTATTTGAATTAGTTCATATTTTTTAATCTATAGATAAAATTGATCCTTTCTTTATTCTGGAAGGTTCTGGAATATTTTAGTTAATTACTAAATGAATTAATCAATATTAAACCAATTTAATTAATTCCAAAATAATTTCTAATTAATTTATTAATTTATAATAAATTAACAACTTATTTTTCTCCTAATTTGTTATTGCTTAATTGGGATATGATAGAAACCAAAACGTACCCTACTATTATTAAAAATATTAAAAATTTGTTAATGACCTTGGACACTTAATCCAACAGTGTAACGTCCTGTTCCGAATCGTTTCCTAATGCATGGTAATGACCTGAAGACCGAGTATCATTAGGCTTAGGGTCTTTGAGGAAAAGAGATTTAGACGCATTTGGGTGTGGGTAGGGTAATTAGGGTGATCCGGGAAGTTCAGTTTGTGTTTTAGAGCCAAGGGGTATTTTGGTAAAGTGTCAGTTCGGGCTTTTATGGAATTTCGATTTTTGTTCGAGAGGTTTTAAGGCATGTATGAGTTGATAAAAGTGTAGAGCTTCTCGTTACCTTTATGTGGATATAAGGATCGTCGAAATGGACATAAAATGAATAAGTTATGGCCTTTGGAAGATGTAGTGGTTTTAGGGTGAAACCGGGTATGTCGGGCGTACTAGTGCTAAGGTCAGTACACGGGGCGTACAATGGCGTACGCTAGGCGTACTGATCAGTTTGATCGCAGGTGCACTAAGGAGTACGTTGGGCGTACCAGAAGTACGCTAGGTGTACTCTAATTAGACCCAAACTCTATTTTAGGGTCTTGGAACCTATTTAAGCTCCTTATCTCATCAACTAACCCTAATATCTTCAGCCTCCATCCCTCTAAACCCTAGCCCCCATTTGAGTGGTTTTTAAGCTGCTTTTTAGTGTTCATAGAAGAAGAATGAACTTCTTGGAGAAGTGTGGGATGGCTTAAAGCTTTTGGATCGAGGGTTGTTGCATCTTGATCTACATTTTGTAGGTATAAATTTTCTATCTTCATGATCTTATATGTTAGATCTAGTTCATGGAGTATTTTGTGCTTTTTGGAGTCTTTCGTGATGGAGATGGGTTTTTTATCTACTCCAGAAGCAATGGGTGCTAGATCTTAGCTCCATTCAGTCCCAAGGTTCATAAAAATGCAAGCTTTATGATGTATTGTGGTCCATGCATGCATTAAGACCTTTGTTAAGTCTTTATTAAGCTTTTAAGTCCCTTTTTGCCATGCAAGCACGTAAAGTTGCCAACTTTACGTGAAAAGTAGTCTTATAGAATCAGATCCGAGAGTTTGACACTTTGTCTTAACTGATTAAGGGATTATTAGAGTGAAAAGGTGGCTGGAGGAGTACGCGGGGCGTACTTAATAGTACGCTCAGCGTAATGCTGAGTTTGGGCCTTATGGACTTGTACAATATGCTTCGGGGGCGAGCACGCGGGCCGTACCACTCTGGTACGCGGGGGCGTACTCCCCAGTGTGCCGTTTTGGGATTTTGAGGATGGGACATTGTTTGGTTTTGTTAGTTAGGCCTTGTTGGGCCATTAGACTTCTATGTTGGACTTTTGGTTTGTATCTTTTAGGCTCCTCTAGATTTAGGCCCATGATGTGTTTCGGGGGCCCAATTTGGAAGATTGGGCCACTTTGGGCTTTGGAGCATCATTTAGGAATTAGGCCTTGGAAGTAGTTGAGTTGGGCCATAGCTTTGGGCCAAGCAAGTCAAAGGGTAGAATGGTCTTTTACCTTTGTTTTAGGCTACGTAGCTTAGACTCTTGGTTATGAGTCGGAATTCAAATATTAATTGGATGTTATTTGATATTGATAGTGCGGAGATTTTCCAGACCAGCAGCCAGAGATTCATTCAATTGTTTATCGGCAGATTAAGGTGAGTCTTCCTCACTGTACTTACGAGTCAAAGGCACCAATTCCGGCCCATTAGATTTATATCATGTTAAGCATGCTGTTGTACTATAGTGATCTGTTATATCGGTATCATGGTATATAGGATGATGTTATGCTTAGTGATCTGCATATCTGTTTGACTGACTATAGACTGCTATATGATTATCTGTTATAAGTGTACATGTTTGGTCGGTGGCTGAGGCTTCACTACTTTATGTGTAAGCCAACAGGCAGGGGCATAGCAACCCGACGGTTGAATGGGCCCGAGGGTATTCCATCCCGAGGATGACTGGAGCCATAGTATGTGGGCATTCCAACCCGATGGTTGAGGTCCTGGGGTATCCCAACCCGATGGTTGATTGGACCCATAGCATGTCGGCATTCCAACCCGATGGTTGAGGGGTCTGGGGTATTCCAACCCGATGGTGGATTGGACCCATAGTATGCTGTTAATTGTATTTTCTATCTGTTTATGTGTTGGTATATTAGGGGAAACTCACTAAGCTTTGGGCTTACAGTTTTGGGTTATGTTTCAGGTACCTTAGATGATCACGTAAAGGCGTGATCGTGGACCTCCTCATGTTTTGATTTATGATTTTGGGAAAACTCTAATATTAAACAATTTTTTGAAAATTATATTCTAAACAATTATGATT